CAGCACTCGCCTACCCCAGTTATGCCTTTGAAATGGGAATTCCAGGGTCACTGGCTGCACTGGAGATGACTGTAGCAACTCAGCGCCTGGTCTCGTCGGATGATTCCTTCTGAGAACTTGTTTTGAGCTTACCACCTGACCAAAGAGCGTCACCACCATCATCTGTAAAATATTAACTTTTACCAGAACAGGGACATGGTACCAAGACTTGATTGCTCTGTGTTGGGGGTGGGGGGGTGCATTTACTTCTTTGAAGATTGAACTAAGGAGGCTAAATGATTAATTCAAATAATTAGGAGTATCTTTTTCTCATCATTTGATTTTGGGGATTGCGATTTTCGTTCAAAACTAAAGACAGGTTGCCTAGGTTATGAGAAAATAAAAGCTTTAAAACAAAAAAAGATGCCAAGTTTGGGAGGAGAGGAGATGTCGAGCTTGGGTCTATGTTTCTGAAGAAGAATTATCTGGAGTTTTATAAAATCAAAGAACACAAACATCACCCTGTGTTTATGTTAGGAAGTAAGCTTTTGAAAATATGAATATGTATTTTAAACACTGTTCTACTTTTTAATCTTGCGTTGCACCCAAAGATTGCTAATGGTTACCAAATTGTTCTTTGGCAGAGTAAGCTGACCCTTAGAAAAAGAAAAGAAGTGATAGGATGTGATTCTAGCACAAAACAAACGTCTGACTCTTCAACCCTAAGCAGATATTAACTACTCCAGCAACTCCAACCTAGGAGGTTAGCCAGGAGCTTTTCTCTGTATTGCATTATGTCCATTACAGGGCAACGAAAGACAGTTTTCATGACTCCTAAGGAAGAGGTGTTTCTCCTCATTAAGAGAGCAGGGCGAGGAGTTTACACGTAGTATCTGAGCTTGTCACTGAGCTTCTCAGCCTCCCCATCTATACATTTGCCTCAATCGGTGCTGGTTATCTTAGCAAAAACGCATTCAGTCTCCAGAAGGGAGGTTTCTCCCCACACCCTGTGAGTAGGAGGATGGATATTTTGCTCTGTGGGCAGAAATGGGTCGAGTGAAACCAGCATGGGGCTGCTGCACTCTCACTAGCTATAATCAGCTTTCCAAATCCACCCTGAGTGTGTCCCCACAGCCCGTAGCATAGTGAGGGGCCGGATATTTGTGACAACACATCTCTGAGAAGCCGCGGTTGTAACAGCCTGTGACCCGGCATCTTCATCCCGGTTTCTCTGTGTAGAGACGGTTTGTTTTCCCAGCTCTTTGGCCATGTGCTAACGATTAGACAATGATGCCATCGACGAGGAGGAAAAGCAGTGTCCCGGATGGTGGGTGCTTTGTTTCTTAGTTCCTCGTTGAAAACATATGGAAATGTTTATATATAAATAGACAACAATAGACTGCTGCCGTCATGTTAGCAACAGCTAATAAAATTCTACATGAATAGACATCTAGCACGCCTCTACCTACGACAGAATTCTGAGTTACTGAAATCTGCACATCCGGTCTAATTCGCGTTGAGAAAGACATTTTATTATCTTAGGCTTTTTATTCCTAGTTGGTAGGAAATGGTGGAGCAAGGGTTTTGTTTTTGTTTTTGTTTTCAATCTTCTCTTTGCCTAATCAAATTACTGTGTTAGCAGGGACAATAAATTCTGTCCAAACAGATTTTGTATTGTGATCATGCAAGAATATTTTAAACTCTGTACATTTGTTGGACTACAGTCTTTGTATTTTTGAATTAAAAGCAAGGATCTGTGGCCTGACAATTGAAAGTAAGCATGAACTGACAAGCTTGGGGAGGCAGACCTCTAGGCTTGAATTCTGACCACTCTACTCACTAGCTAGGTAAGCCTGGGGAAGTTAGTTAACCTGACCAGACCTCAGTTGCTTTGTCTGTGAAATGAGAAATATAATAGCACTTATAGAATGATTATAAGCATTACCTGGGCTAAGCTATAAGACATTTCACACAGTGTCTGGCACGTTGAAAGCACTGCAAAAATGATACCTGTTATCATTATATGCAGCTAACGGAAGGGTTTATATGGAGTCCTTTCTTGAAAACCTGAGAGGTATGGATCTTTAGTGGTAAGACCAGTAACAGCAACTATTGATGAAATGCTCATTATGTGCCGGGCTCTACAATGCCCTCTTTCTTACAACACAGTGAACTGGGGTGCCATCATTATCCCCATTTCAAAGCAAAGGAAACAGAAGTCCCAGACTGCCCAGTGTCACAGAGCTCATGACTGGTCAGTCTGAGGATTAAACTCAGACTGAATAGTCCCAGGGCGCATACTTGTTATCACTATGCTAAACCTTTTGCCACATAGCATTTGACACCTTTGAAAGTGCCCTTATTCAAATTATTCTCAACATTCCTATCAGCATCCTGGCATTGCATGGTACCATTCACAAACGGTGGGATACCCTGGCCCTTGTTCATTTGTAGGTGTAGAGGGTCAAGAAGCCTTTCATGCATATTTTTTAAGGAGCTTGGACAAGTTTAACTCACACAACCACTTTCACTGTGGTCCACAAAGATCTTTTGTTTGAAGACCCTCAAAGTTCCATGTGCCCAGGCTCATTGTTCAAGCCTGGGTGCACGCTCAGTCGCTTCAGTTGTGTCTGACTCTTTGTGACCCCATTCACTGTAGCCCACCAGGCTCGTCTGTGCATGGGGTTCTCCAAGCAAGAATACTAGAGTGGATTGCTGTGTTCCTCCAGGAGATCTTCTCAACCCAGGGATTGAGCCGGCACCTCTAACATCTCCTGCACTGGCAGGTGTGTTCTTTACCACTGTCTAGAAGGAAACGGCAACCCACTCCAGTACTCTTGCCTGGAGAATCCCAGGGACAGCGGAGCCTGGTGGGCTGCCATCTGTGGGGTCACACAGAGTCGGACACCACTGAAGCAACTTAGCAGCAGCAGCCACAAGCCTAGAAAAAAGCATTTGTTCCAGCCTACAGATGGAGATGCTAAAGGTCAAGGCATCATGACTTGGGGACAGACAGAGAGGCCAGACACTCCTCTTGGCCATCCAGTAGGTTGGTTGCTGAGCCAGGAGTAGAGTTGAGTGGGTCCAGGGCTGGGCACGCCTCACCAGGCTGATGCCCAAATCATTACCTAGCTCTACTTTTAACTAAAAAGCATATAGTCAGGAGCAAATTGGGTAATATTCTTATTGGAAGGATGGGAGTCTGTGAGAAGTATGGGAACCCTCACAGACATGACCCAACTCTGTCTTTATTTGAAGATATATTGTGCTATTTCTTTTCTCATTTTTATAGGGGAGGAAAATAATTTGGGGTGGGAGCTGTGGGCACATAAGAGGACAGGGTTAATCCTGCCAAATTCATGTCAACTTGTTGACCTAGCACCAGTGTGCTAGCTGAATAGCCCTGAATGTAAGACATTAGTGCAAATATTTTTGCATGTTATTAACTCTAATGACGCTACCTTCTTGCAGTAGCCACAGCTGAAAGCAGAGAAAAGTGTTTTCCTGGTTTTTTTTTTAATCATAATTGTCTTGGGTCTTTCTCTGAAAATCACCATGAAGACAGAAATTCCTTAGAAGTGAAAGTGGAAATACCAACAGACTTCTGCTTTGTCAACCTTCTCATCATCAGTGACAGCAGAATGGGTCACAAAATTCAGGACCACAAAGTTCAGTCCTATAAATGTTAGAAATGTCCTTCTTTAGAATCCACCACTGTTCTTGCTGTTGTAACGATGCCCATCCACAGCAAGAGGAAATCATTATAAAAAGTATCTGTTTTACAAAAGAAAAAAAAATAGTTATGCAACCCTGAAATTGTTATGCAAGTGAAAAATCATTCTAATTCAGAATAGGTGTAACTCCATGCTAGCTATAGCAGTGTGGAGTTTTGGAAAGCATAGTATTTCAGACCCAGCTCTCTCATTTGCCAACTGTGTGACTTTGAGCAAGTCACTTAACCTCTCTGATCCTCAGTTCCTTTTCTATAAACCACTATCAATGATAAAACTGCCCTGTCTACTTTATGGGTTATGGAAGCAGATCAGAGGTGACTGCAAACATGAAAGCTCTCTGAAAGCGATGTAAAAATGTTATTATTGATTTTAACTAGGTGAGTAATGACGATGCCAGCTTGAGAATAACTTGACCAAGGTAGTATCTGGTCAGTCTTGAAGAAAAGAATGGCTCTTGGGAAATAGATGGCCAGGCCAGTTTAAACTTGAAAGAGCCTTAAACTTGAAAGTCTTTGGGCCGGGTGGCAACTGAGCTGTGCAATCTGGTGAGCGCCTCTTCTAGGCTCTTGCTGTGACAATATTGGCTACACGAAATCACTGTGCTTTCTCACCAGACTTCATTTGGGAAGAGTTTACACACTGGCGGCCTGGCAGAGCTGCTGGGGTGTGGAGTTCTACAGCTGTGCCCTGGAGAGCAGCATGTCACTGGCGTTCTATTACCGCCCTCCCTGGGGGCTCAGCAGATGGCACGGCGTCAGAACCAGAAACCCAAGACAAACCTGTCGTTTGATGCTTTTAAGCCTTTGCAGAATCCACAATTAAAATAAGACAGAATGTCCATCAAGAGGAAAGAGGTACAGCAAAATAGGCCCACAGAGCATACTTTTTTGGGGGGCCTAAACATGGCTAAAGCTATCTGGAGATCCCCACTGTAGAAAAGGAATTGTATCTGGTACACGTTAAGCTGTTAGGAAAATTAATTGAAAGAATGCTATTGATAATAGCAATAATTAAGTAATTTTAACATGGAGCTTTATATTTATTTTCATTGAATTTAAAGAAAATCTTTCCAAGTCAACTCAAATTTGGCAGATCCCAGGATGAGTAAGTTTGCATCTCAGAACCGTTAGTAATATGCAGACCAGACCCCAAGTTGAGCAGAGCCTGATGTGTTTTGGCAACAACTAGTGAGGAGATAAAATCTCTGATTGTTGTTTTTTCAGTAACTCCTAAAGAGAAAGCAGAGTTGCAGCAGATACGAACCAAACACTTATCTCTTTTGTTTAGGCAAATAGCTCCAACTACAGCCTTGTGATGGAGTCTGACCTGGGGACCTTCTTACCCTCTGGGCTGAGGTTCACTGGCTCTAACTCGGCCAGGATCATCATGGAGGAGGTCATGAGCCTGCTGCAGCCCATCAACATCACACAGGTCCTGAAGAATGGAGATGGGACGGACATTAACTTCTGGATCCAAGATGGAGTGCCTGGTAAGAGCAGAAGATGAACTTGGGGTTCTTTACATACTGCCAGCGATTTAAAACAAAGTTTCTGTTCTAACATGCCACAACAGATACTGGTAGGTCAATTAATACACGAAAACCCTTAGCTTTTGTCTATAAGATATAATCTGATGATTTCCAATATTGGGATAATAATACTCCTTTATGTTTGTTTATCCATCTGTCTGCTCTTTCTAAAGTACAAGTTCCTCTCTCCAAGAAATTCTGATTTAATGACTCAGGGATTGGGCCTAGAAATTGGTTTGGTGTTTTTTAAAAACAGGTATAAGGTGATTGTAGCTCAAATGATCTCCTGACCAAAATTTATGAAACAGAGTAGAAGACAACTCAGTTCAGTTCAGTTGCTCAGTCATGTCCAACTCTTTGCGACCCCATGGACTGCAGCACGCCAGGCCTCCCTGTCCATCACCAACTCCCGGAGTTTACTCACACTCATCTCCATTGAGTGGGTGATGCCATCTAACCATCTCATCCTCTGTCGTCCCCTTCGCCTCCTGCCTTCAATCTTTCCCAGCATCAGGGTCTTTTAAGATGAGTCAGCTCTTCACATCAGGTGTCCAAAGTATTGGAGTTTCAGCTTCAACATCAGTCCTCCCAATGAACACCCAGGACTGATCTCCTTTAGGATGGACTGGTTGGATCTCCTTGCAAGGGACTCTCAAGAGTCTTCTCCAACACCACAGTTCAAAAGCATCACAATTCTTTGGTGCTCAGTTTTCTTTACAGTCCAACTCTCACATCCATACATGACTAGATGGCCTTGACTAGATGGACCTTTGTTGGCAAAGTAATATCTCTGCTTTTTAATATGCTGTCTAGGTTAGTCATAACTTTCCTTCCAAGGAGTAAGCATCTTTTAATTTCATGGCTGCAATCACCATCTGAAGTGATTTTGGAGCCCAAAGAAATAAAGTCGACCACTGTTTCCACTGTTTCCCCATCTATTTGCCATGAAGTGATGGGACCAGATGCCATGATCTTAGTTTTCTGAATGTTCAGCTTTAAGCTAACTTTTTCACTCTCCTCTTTCACTTTCATTAAGAGGCTCTTTATTTCTTCTTCACTTTCTGCCATAAGGGTGGTGTCATCTTCATATCTGAGGTTATTGATATTTACTACTACTGATATCCTTCTAGTTCTAGTCCTGTGCTGCAGAAACTTCTCTGACCCAAGTAGTCCCCTACCCAAAATCAAAGAATCTGAAATTTTACCATCAGAGATTTATTCTTTGAGGTTGGGAACATTTTGTTAATCAGTTTTTCCTAATGCAAAGACTGCTTTAAGAGGTTGGACATAAACTAGTTTATCCTGATCAGGTTCATCAGGTTGATATTTTTAAGATCAAGTCCTGGGCAGGTATGAAATTATGTAGTAGGACTAGGCATGGGATGATTACAGGACAAGAAAGAAGACAAACAAATTTCCTTCATAAATTTGCTGAGACTGGCCGTGGGAGAGGGTAATTGATGATATTAGACCTCTGTGATCAGAAGTTGTTCCCTCAATACCATTATATCCACAACCAAAAACACTGTTAAAAAATCTATTTGCATATTATTCTGTACTTGTATTATGCATATAGTAAGTCTAGCTTTTGAATAGTCTTAAAAATTACAGTTTCCAGAACCATTTTTATAGCTACAAAATATTTCACAAAATTTTTTTAAAGTCTCTCTAGATCCACCACACTCTAGCCTTTTTTTTTTTTTCAGCCTGCAAAATAGGCTTTAACAATAGCATACTGTATGGATTTAAGGTTTTTTTTTAAAGTTCATTCTTTAGATATTACAGATTAAAGCATATTTTAGATGTTAAGGTTGGTAATAGTCTTTTATAACTAAAAAGAGAAGGAGATTTTCTTTAAGACACGGACCTAAATCCTCTCCAGTGGTTTGTGTATATTTTAACCATATTTTGAAATAACTTAAGACAACATTTCCATTTTCAGTGCTGTGGTTTGTCTGTACAGAACCGAGACTCTCTACATATATGTGCTTTTAATCATGATCAAGGTCTAGGGGAAGGGCTTTTGCCCTTTGAATTGTATAAAATGTTTTTGCTTGAATTTTAGATTTTTCTTGACCCTTAAATTTTCCAGAAAGAATCTTCTTAAAATTTCAGAAAAGCCCAGCACGTTTTCTGGGTGGTAAGAAGTGAGAAAAAACTTGACAGGTTGTGGGTGAATTAGAGTGAAGACTGGAGGTGGTTAAAGGGGAGGGGAGGAGCTGAAACCAAAGACAGAAGAACAAAAACATGTGTGCTCCCTCCTACCAGGTAGCTTCTGCTTTTGTTGCATTGGATACTTGAGAATCAGCTCTAGCTTTATTCCTTCTATGTAGATATCCCATAAGAATGGTTCTATTTGGAATTAACAAGTTGATTTGATTGTCTTCACAAAGGTAAGGAGGGCTTCCCCCTCTTGCCACAGAGTAGTGGGGAATTGAACCCCATTGTGATTGCTTAAGAACTAATGTGAGTTATATACTCAACATTTAAAAAACTAAGATCATGGCATCCAGTCCAATCACTTCATGACAAATAGAAAGGGAAAAAGTAAAAGTGACAGATTTTATTATCTTGGGCTCCACAGTCGCTGCTGATGGTGACTGCAGCCATGAAATTAAGATGCTTGCTCCTTGGAAGGAAAGCTGTGACAAACCCGAAAAAGAAAGTGAAAGTGTTAATTGCTCAGCTGTGTTCAACTCTTTGCAACCCCATGTGCTGTAGCCTGCCAGGCTCCTCTGTCCATGGGATTCTCCAGGCAAGAATACTGGAATGGGTAGCCATTCCCTTCTCCAGGGGATTTTCCCAAACCAGGGATCAAACTTTAGGACTGACTGGATTTCCTGCATTACAGGCAGATTCTTTACCATCTGAGCCACCAAGGAAGCCCCTAGACAGCATGTTAAAAAGCAGAGGCATCACTTTGCCAACAAAGGTCCATCTAGTCAAAGCCATGGTTTTTCCAGTAGTCATGTATAGATATGAGAGTTGGACCAAAAAGAAGGCTGAGTGCCATAGAATTGATGCTTTTCAACAGCGGTGCTGGAGAAGACTCTCAGGTCCCTTGGACTGCAAGGAGATCAAACCAGTCAGTCGTAAATGACATCAACCCTGAATATTCATTGGAAGAACAGATGCTAAAGCTGAAACTCCAGTACTTTGGCCACCTAATGCGAAGAGCTGACTCATTGGAAAAGACCCTGATGCTGGGAAAGATTGAGGACAGGAGAAGGAGGCAGCAGAGAATGAAGATGGTTAGATAGCCTCAATCTATCTAAATGGTCATATAGATTCACGACTCAGTGGACATGAATTTGAGCAAACCCAAGGATATAGTGAAGGACAGAGAGGCCTGGTGTGCTGTAGTTCATCGGGTCGCAAAGAGTGGGACAGAACTTAGTGACTGAATGACTTAGTGACTGAACAAAAACAATGTAATTTACTCAACTCCTGCTAGCTGTCAGACACCCAGTTAGGCTTTTTGCATACACTGTCTTTTTGCTCTAGATGACCATCCTAAGAGTTAGGTACAGTTACTCCTGTTCTGAAGATGAAGAAGCAGACTCAGAGGGACTGAATGACTTGCCCAAGTCTATCTGGCTCTTAAGTGCGGAAGTCACCCTGAGAACAGGCCACTTTGGTTTCAAGGCTGGTGGCCCGTTTCCCACACTATGCAACAACACGGGGTGTCTGGAATGCTGAGATGGTCTTCCAGATCTATGACAGTGTCTGAAATGTTTATCTTGCTCGGCTCTTGCTTATGCAAAGGATTTCAGTTCATTCCTGCTCCAGAATAATTTACCCCTGGGGAAAGGAGTTTGTTATTGTAAATAACTACTTATTTCTTCTCACATTCTTTGTTCCACTCCTCTCTCTATCAGGAAGGTTTATGTAAACTTGGTAGCTCATTTAGACTGCAACTTATGTTTCCTGGAATTCTTTTTCATTCAGTTTAGAGTATTGTAAGATGGAACCAAATTATTGCTGTTTTCCCCTATTGTTATTGAGCTATCTTCTGGTATTTCAGGTTTGAGGTCTTCCTGGAAGAAATAATGGAACTGTTTATAACTCTTGTTACCCATCGAAAATTTTAGGAATGTTAGACGAAAGATGAAGAACCATAGTTAATCTGAAAAAGAAAATTAAAATATACTAGTTGTGTACTCAGAATTCTTGAAGACATGGCAAGTTACAGTGAGTTAAAGCTAAAAATAGGACTCAAAATACTAATTTAGTTATGATTGAAATAACTGTTCAGCTCACTTTTGAAAAATTAGTGAGAAATATTTCCAAATTCCATTCATCCTTTCTTCTTTCTCTTTTTCTTTCCTTTCTTCCATTGAACTAATAAATACTTATTGAGCCCTTTCAAGTCGTTGGCCTATCACATTTCTGTAGTGTGATGACTGAGCCCCATTTTTTTAATGGTTTTTGTATACTCTGTATCAAAATACTAATTAAGAGCACAGATAGGATTAAAATTCAACATGATTTTCATTAACTATAGAAGTCAAATGGATAAATTTATGAAACTATAATCTTTGGAGAGGAGATAGGATATCCTTCATCCATCTAGGTAATGTCCATGATGAACAGGATAACTATCAACATAAACATAAGGCTTTGGGTGGGAGGAAAGTTTAAAAAAAAAATCTTAGATGTATTTTTCACATAAACTCTCTGTTCTAGACACCTTCATACTCCAGCCACCACCCACTTCCTCCCTCTGCCATACTTCTTCCTATTTTCTCCTCCAAATCCTAAATGCTCTTTAAGGCTCACTCCATGTTCATCCGTGTCTGGGAATCCTTCTTTAACACAGCCTGGTGCTCTGTTGCTTTTCTGAATTTCTAAAACACTTCTGTAGCCCCAAGTATGGCACTCAAGTCACACACTAACGTTGTCCTTGGGTTACTAGGAATTTCCCTTCATCCTGCCTCCTATACTCAATGATCAGTTATTTG